AGTGGATAAGTATCCTGTTCAGCAAAATGATTCATTACCCAACAGGAGAAACTAAGAGCATGATTTTAGCATATATCATCAATTTTGTGACTTCGTTAGCCATGATCTATGTTTTTTTCCATTCTAACTCCAATTTTGCCTAAATTCTAATTTTGCCTGACTTAGTCAAACTTAGAATTCTAATTTTGCCCAGGCAAACTTGGAATTCTAATTTTGCCTAGGCAAATTCGGAATTTGCCTGGATTCCAAGTTTGCCTACAACATATATGTCAATGTATATATCCACAATAAAATCAAAGGAACCGAAATGATACAAAATAAACTAAATTAGAATTGAAATTTTGACATGCTCTCTAATCAATGTAAAGAGTTATTGAATAGAAAATGCAGTCGAATAAGGACAAAATTTAATAAAAGTAGTACTAGAAGAACATTAAAATATTCAAAGATGCCATAAATAAATAATGTTATTGATTGCATACTAGATTATTAAATTGAGATTCTTCTGTTTTGCTGTAATTGTTAGATCTTCAAGTTCGTTTCTGTGTACTTTAAGTCCGTTTGGAATAGAAGAACAGTGCAAATAGACGTAATAAATGACTCTATATAACTTGTGAACATTACAAGATGAGTGAACTATTTCGGTTAAAATATAAAATTAGTGCTTTTCTTAGCTTATCCCATTGTCTATTGCAGCGCGTATATAGAAAATGAAAAGTGATAAAGGAAAGTCATGATAGTCAAAAAGCGTTGTTCCAGCTGCTAATCATCGATATTGAGAGCCACATATCTCAAAAACTAAAAACCGTCTTTTTCTAGAAATTAGATCAGTATGTAGTACAACGTCTGTACTTCAAACTAGTATAAGAAGTGGAGATGGACCTTCTCTAGTTAATTTAATTTTAATCTGAGAAGTTAGCGAAATATTGGATGAGCGCTGGTTCTTTCGGACATTGAATAAATGGATATATAGATTAAAATAGAAAGTTTGTTCTTTTCTTGTCTCGAAAACTCGCTTTTTTTAAGATCAAAAGAGGAGTAGACTGAAAGCGATACATTTGATCTCTATAGTTGAATTATATTTTCTTCTCTTTGTTTTTTATCATCTAGAATTGCCATTTGATAGGATTTCTGTTCTGTAACCAAGCAACAGAAGAGGACTACAGTTACTCAGAAAATCTAGAAAACTCGACAAACATGTTCTAAAACAGCTTTAAATCATGAATAACCCGGACAGACGTTGTCGTTTCTTTGAAACAATCACTTTTGTTCAACAGCGCTATGTTCAACGAGAATAAACGCTACTCACTTAGCGCCTTCTATAAAAGTAACTATCTTCGCAACCGTTGAGACGTCATTGATGAAACTTTCAGAAAATGTTTAACTAATAGTCGTTATTCATTACCCAAAATTTCAGCTCAATCCGTCTGGCGAAAAAAAAGTCGACTTTTTCAGCTCTCTCATAATGTCATTCACCCTTTTGTTTCGCTATTGTAACCAATATAAATATTATGCTGATTCTTTGGATGAAACTTGTAATTTTATCTGTTCTTCAATTATACAATCACTGACACTTGTCTCGAGAAGGTATAACCCTCTAAAGTTTCAACCACTGTCCCCAACTTCAATCTTTCTCAGGGATCTCATCAGGTGGTTTCCATCGAGAAAGATAAAGAGTTAATTTACGACAAGCAAAACAAGTCCACATCGTGTGAGGGCGTTATCATTCTTTCAAACAGTGAAAGGGGCCCAATATCGATAGCCACTGCACATACCCGTTCTTTTATAAATTGCCAATTATTTGCATAACAATACTATTTGTATCCATAAACAAAAGCAATTTAAACGATATTATCTACCATTTATTGTTTTTAATCTGCAATGATTAGTTTGAAAAAGGTAAAACGTGCACGCGAAGGACAGACAAAGCTGTTTTTAATTTGTGAGAAACAAAAATGTTAAAGCTTTTTAACATTCTCATATTTCAACGATTCACGTAGACTGTCATTGTTCTCACTATAAATTATAAAGCATATCGCACTTTTGTAACAGTTATTCAGTAGTGAAGTGCATTTTTTTTAAACACGCCCAAAATACAATGAATTATTATGTATATTTAATACTTTTATGTTTACTTCAATTTTTTTCGATCTATGGTAGCTATATTCATCAGAATATTGCTGATCCTGGAACAAAATATAATGAAGGTAAGTTTCAGAAACGTTTTCAAGTGATTTTAGTGCCACAAGGTGTAATATGATATTTGTCTCAACAAAAACACGAAGCAGAGCGAACTATCTCTGGAAGGTTTTCGACTGTATGTTTTTCGATCAAAATTCAGACGCAGCGTACATTTGAGGAGAAAGTTTTTTGAAAGCTTCTGTTCTTCTAAAACGGAGCAAGCATTAACCAGATAGTTTTTGAGTGATGAAGAACAAGTTTCAAGTCTTTTGTGATCCTTTCAGTACTACTGTCGAATGCTATTTATGGGTACTCTATCGTGACAAAACAACTTTGAACAGAAAGAAAAAAGCCTTAGTTTTCATAAAACTCGGTTTTCACTAAGCTTCTGAGTTCTTTTCGGCATTGCTGAAAGATTCAGTGTTGTCGATTTAGTATGTCTCATCCGATGTCAAGAGTATTCGAAGTCATCGGGTACGAGTCCTGTGACTCAAAGGAAATCCGATCAGTTAGATGCAGTGTCATTCCTAGAACCTATGGAAAAATCTAGTAGTTAAGTCACAAAGACCGATGCCAGGCTCGAAGAAATTTCATATTAACGTATATTGTAGACTTTTTCAAGGCTTATCGAAAAATCTCTATTGCACTACGTTAAATACTGGAAGTTACAGAGAAACTTTGTTTTTACAGTCATACTGATGGTGTTACGGGATTGTTTGTTTTCGAGCAGATTTCACTGGATATGTTCAACCGGCAGCGTTCAGAAGGCCCAAATCATCCTAATTAAAGAAGTTATTACGATATATTTCAATTAGTTAATCAGATATTTATTTTAACAACTCACTTCTCAGAAGACAGAAGTTTAAAAACTATGATCGCACGTGCAATATTTCAGAATTGAATTGCGTGTAATAGGCTTCTGGGTTCTTTAGCTTTATAAGTGAGGCCTCAGTCGGCAAGATTTTGTTCTGCTAATTCTAAAGAACATCGGAAATTGCCTGAAGTTCAACTAATACACTCAAGTTATGTTTTAGTTTTAAACAAACTGAAAAAATATATATCGTTAATAAAAAAAGAAGATTAATATGATCAAACTGCGTTCAGTAAGCTCAGTGGCTAGAGCTTCTGATCCGGAGATCATGAGTTCGATCTCCGGTCGAAGCACATGATCCTCTCAATCTTTCTTATAAAATATCATCCCGAATGAGAATAGGAATTCTAGTACGTCACAAGAAGCAATGTACAGCAATGAACGATAGATTCCTTACGTTCATTACTCTTCGTTACTTCGTTCGTTACTTTGTTCGTTACTCTTACGATAACTATCGAAAAGTTTGCTATTTTTTGCAACTTTTCAAAGATAAGAATTTTCCATGGGGCTCAACAACTTGTGCATAGTGAATAAAATGTCTCTGTTATAGATAATATACTGCTAGAAGTGTTGTAAACTCACATCCTAATACTAAGTGTTCTTTTTCTTAATTTAGAAACAAAGTTTCCGCCATATTTAACTGAAGATGATTTTAAACTAGCTGCTTCCTTACCCACAACAACAGAAAATATAAATATCACTCAGTATTACTTAAAAGATGATCAAATAAGGTCAACAACAAATGTAAACTTCTTGTTTTATTCTGAGTAAATAATTTTAACATGTTTATTTGTTTGTTTGAATAGAGTAGGAGCGCACTTGATAGTGCTAGGTGGCCAAATGGAGTCGTTCATTACATATTAGATGAACATTTAACAGAACATGAGAGAGCTGAAGTAGCCAAAGCTTTCAATGATTACCAGGTTAAAACATGTATTCGTTTTGTACCAAGACAAAATAATGAACAAGCATTTGTTCGAATTATACGTGATGATACTACATGTGGTTTAGCCATAGTGTGTCGAACAGGCAACGAACAATGGGCAAAATTTGGTGGTGGATGCATAACATCAGCAGTAATGGTCCATGAGCTTGGTCATACACTTTGTTTTGGACATGAACAAACTCGTTTTGATCGTGATGACTATATATCGTATAGGCCGGGATGCAACCCCGATGGAAAAGACAATAATCACGAAACAAGTCGTGAATTATTTTATGATTATCTTAGTTCTCAACATTATAATAATGATGGTTGTTATGAAGCAAAACTGCCTGGTATTACAACATGGGGTGGAGACGGTGGATTAAGTGTTTTGGATATCAATAAAGTCAATTCATATTATGAGTGTGGTGGATGTTTGTCATACAGATGGAAACCATATGCAAAAGTTGATGCGAGTACAATGATTGCAGGTGGGAAAGAATATACTGGTGAACAACAGTACATTTGTCGTGTTTATCATAATGGTGATATTATACCCGGTAAAGGAAGACCAAATCACGGATGTTGGGTTGGATATAATGGTGTAGAATATCACCATACAGATAATTATGAAATGCTTACAGATCCGTCACGTAGTAATTCATATGTTTGGAGACAAGACGATAACCAACCATCAAATGCAATTGCTGGAGGAAGAGATAGTTCAAGAAGTACACTTTATATTTCAAAATGTCATTTACAATTACATGGATATAATTTACAACTAAGTGGTAAATTTCATAATGGCAAAGCATATGCAACGTTCGGTTTCGTCGAATATACATGTCCACCTGGATCGTATGAAATACTTGTTTGTTAGATATAATATGAGTGATGATGCCAGACGTATAAAATCGCGTTTCAATAATTATTGTCATAGTCACTGTAGGAAGTCAAAAGTACTTCAGTTAAATAAACTTGTCATTTTTCTGACGTTTTTGATTAAATAAACAATAATCCGATTTATACTACTATCGATTAAAATTTTAGTAAATATTTCCCCCAAAATAGTTTATCTTATGAAACTTATGAAAAAAGAAATAAATAGAGTTTGGTCATTCATGGTTTCTGTTACAATAAATGATCATATAATGCCAGAATACGGAATAATGTGCTAATCTATCAAAGATTATCTATTATTTCCCATCAAAATAAAAAATTGAAATACGAATAATAATTTTTGATAAACTTACAATAAATTTCACCAAATGGCTCGAAAAGATCGATCGAAAACATAAAGTTTTTCAAAAATATGAAAATAAAACGAATTTTATCCTGCAATAAGAGCTTTTCATGCGCTAAGAAAATGTTCGTTTAATTTATTTTAGGTCATCGCGTAGTAGTCAGTACAATCTAAAAACGAATTTTTACGTTTGAAAGTGATCTGCATCAAAGTTTTGGACAGTTTTGCTTACATTGTACAAAGAGAGATTTTATATGATTTTGTAGAGAATTGAATGGAAACCTTCGAAAAGAAATTAAGTCTGGACTCTGCAAGATAAAAAAAAATGATTTAAGGAATATGTTGAAAGTGGTTTATTTTAGACACACAAAATTTTGTGTGAATCGTTTCTTATCACTGCCAATATCGACTCAACGTCTTTTTGGTTTATGAAACAGCACTAGAAGAAACGCATTCTAAAGTCTTCATTCAATTCTCTAGATTAAGAGGGGTCCTCATTTAGATTTTCTTTATACCTTTCTAGTTTGTGTAGTATGTCTCGAAGTATATGTCTTACAGTTTCGGTAACTGACATTGATCCGGCTGAGAAAAAAAATAATTACTTAGAGAATTTTATTTAATTTTTCAGTTTGGAACTATTTTTTAAAAAAATCTTAATCCTGCATTCATAATGACAACTGGATTCTTGCACAGATCAAAAGAGAAATGTGTGAGGATTATTCAATACATTAAAAAACCTAAAATGTGGCCGCTCCGTAAATCTAGTAAGGCAAAAATTTAGTAATATTTTTTTAAATAATTAATTTTTTTCTCATCCACATAATGTCAGTAAGCCGAAAGAGCTATAGGACATATACTTCCGCGTATCCTCCACAAACTGGGAAAGTTTAACAGGAAAATTCAAAATTCAAACATTTATCTATTTTTTAGCTGAGAAAATTTTTTCATAGCTTTGATTTTAGTTTAAAAATGAAGTGTTAGGAATTTCGAGCCAGGAAGATCCTATTCCATGGAAGATGACATTCTAAAAACTTTTTCAGCCTTATATTTGCTCCAAAAATTGCTTCCTATTCGAGAAGCTATGGGCAAGGCTTTTTGAAAATACTTTTGGATCTAAACTGGGAAGGTAAAAATTGAATTTCTTGGTGAAACTTTCTCGTGGAACGATGAACAGTTTTTTCCTATATATAACTCGATGTCCTCTATCTGATGACGCAATAAACGAGTCTTCATTTCAAATTTCAAAGATTTTATTTAAATTTTAAGAGCGTTTTCTCAGGCAGGAAAATGCAAAGCCAAGGAAAATCCTGCAATTTTTTCGGTTCCTTGACTTGTAGTTTAACAGGAAAATTCAAAATTAGTATCACCTAAGATCATTTACTCTTTTATTTCGACGTTTATTTTATTGATAACAGACATTACAATCAACCGGTTTTTATGCATCTCCAACAAGGAATTCATATTGTTGTCTACCGAAAGCTACAATTGCAGTTGAGCAATACTGCTATTGTAAACTGCAAGCATGTATCGTTGAAATCGATGGACAAGTAGACTGTCGTGACTACATGTCACATACAGGTGCAGCAGACGATTCACTCCCCGAATTTCGACAGAATTCTCTACTTTAATGAAGTGCATTAGCTCAAAATCGACTTTTTATACGGAGAACAGAATCGGTTCAAATTCTTTTTCTAAAGAGCTTATTATATGAATCGACGATCAGCAAAGTATCTCTCGATTCAAATCACTTTTCGCAATTTGGCGCGAATAGTGGCGCCACTTAAAACGTGCTACTATTCGCGCCAAAATGTGAAAAGTGATTTGAATCAAAAGATACTTTGCTGATTGTCGATTCATATAATAAGCTCTTTAGGAAAAGAATTTGAACCGATTCTGTTCTCCGTAAAAAGTCGATTTTGCGCTAATGATGGAAAAGAAGACTGATGCAACTGTATTTATAAAGTGTTGGAAAACAAGAGAAATTGTTTCTATGTTTATATGTGTTCTTTTGCCTACGTTTCTGACTGTTCTGTAGCCAAAAGTAAAAATTGTGAAAAATTTGAAATGAATTTTTTATTATTGTACGATGGCACTGCCTATACTAGTTTTTGTTCAATAAATGCTGCTAAATTTACTACGTATTAAATTAATTCCCGATTAAACTAATTAAGCCATGATATTATTTGACGGTGTTGGAATCGTGAGGGCTTTGTCAAAATTCCAAAATAATTTCTAAAATTTCACAAATTCCGTCGGAATTTCTGCATTTGTCGAAATTTCCATTCGTAGAAGTTCCAAAAATCTGCAACTTTCTAGAGATCGAACAAGACCTTGTTCAGTTTTTGTTAAATTATTGATTTCATAAAATTTAGTATCAATGAAGTTCGCCAAATCCATAGCTGTAAAAGTAGCGGCTTTTGGAGAACAAGCAGCAATCACAAATACACGTCCTTCTGCTTCCAGATCTGGAAATGAAATGTCGAAAAGCTTAGATAGTTTTCTATCTTGTTCACTTTATTCAGTAACGGCCATTTAACTAATCTCATACTCACACTTGAAAAACACTGCTATTTATCTCGTGACACGACATTACCGCCTAAATGAGCCTGGTTTTGTATTTTGTATATCATGTTTTCAAATCTGAGTGAAGTTATGTGGTTAATAGTTATTGTGTGATACAGTTACACCGGGACGCTCGCGAACAGGAACCCGAATTTTCCACGAATTTTTCATAGTACATATTTGGGTATTTTTGGCATTGTTTCGTGGGAGGTGCGGGTGTGGACAGTGTGGGAGTGAGTACGAAAAGTAGTTTCAAACAAAACATATTTTCAGGATTAGAAACTGCATATCTGTAACTGTATCACATAATGACTACTCACCACATAACTTCACTCAGGTTTCATGTTGTTCGCGGAAATGTCGTGTCACTGTGTAACTGTATCATATAATGACTATTAGCCACATAACTTCACTCAGATTTTAAAATGTGATATACAAAATACAAAATTAGACTCATTTATTCTTTTCCAATAAACAAGTCTTCGCGGAAATGTCGATGTATCATTTATCTATAAAATTTACGGTTCATGCCCAAACTCCGCATACTTTCACCCACCCACCTGCCCACCACCTTTGAAGATTCTTTGATCTCAATTTCAAATTAATTAAAAGTGTGCGGAGTTCGGGAAGTAACGAAATTTACATATAGTTGAGCATACGAGAAACAGATGGGAAGAATAATAACGTCAGTACAGGACATAACATGAAGAAGAATAGAAAAGAACATGATGGACATATGATGTCAGAAAGGACAAAGAATAGTCACATTTCTAAACATGTGATCTCCTTATGTTCTCATGACATAACACGCCTTTATCTGGTGAATTCCCGTTTCGTCGAAAGCTTAATTAATTTTCCTGTTTCATCGAAAAAATTTGTAGAGCTTTTTTTCTAGTGTTCCTGTTTCGTCGAAAAATAAAACTTGAAGTAGAATATAGATTATTCTAATTAATAAGGTTTTTATAAACAGACTAATTAAAAAGAATGCTGAATTATTCAAAATTATTGTATTGAAAAATACATTATTAGAGAAAGAAGCAAAACAAAAATCAAAATTTTTTGATACCAATTAATTGTATCACTTTTCAAGATATTCTTCCAGTGTTAATGTTTGTTGTTTATAAGGATTTTCTAAATCGTGTAATCGTGCATTTCGATTCACAAATAGTCTTTTTCTTGGTGGTATTGCGCCGATGGCTGTATGACGTGATGATATTGCTGAATTATAAGCATAATCGTTTTGAATTGCACGAATAAACATATAAAAATGTGGATGTATGACATGATTTAAATCAGTATTTAAACGATGATGCCAACCTTCTGAGCTATTATTTGTTCTTGAACTTTTAAAATCAAAATAATTCCACAATGATAAATCGAACTACGCATCATCATCCACCCACGTACTTGTGACATAATCGTAAAATACCTCAATATGCTTGAAATTGATCCATAATCAATGCCCATATTTTTCCAACTTCTTGCGGTGGCATGAATGCAAGTGCACATGTTTTCTATATATATACTACATTTTGAATAATTCAGCATTCTTTTTAACTGGTCTGTTTAAAAGCTCTCATTAATTAGAATAATCTATACGCTACTGTTTTCAATACAGTTTATTAATTAAATTAATCTATACTCTACTTTTTCTATACATTTTATTAATTAGAATAATCTATTTCGACGAAACAGGAAAATTAATTAAGCTTTCGACGAAACGGAACTAACCCTTTATCTTCCTTACATTAAAAGTTATTTAGAAAATACTAAAAAAATAAACAATTCAGTTGTTTGTTTTTTGGTAGCTTTTTAAAACTAACTCGATGTTCATTTGGATTTATTCCGATTGTTTCACAATTTTTCAAATGAAATAATAAATGGCAGAATATTGTTGGTTTTCGATATGAATATCCCCTCAATGAATGCTTGAAATTTGTCAAATACGAGAACATATGCTCTGCAACTTGAGAATCAAGATTTTTGAAGATAATTTTGTGTACTGGATCATCGGCTCTTATTTTTTTTACACATTTGTCTTTTATGGTTGGATTGATGGAAACGAGGGATCGTAATCCATTTGTTTTAAAAACATTTTTCTTGATGCTTTCAAATATTGACTTCCATACCAATTATAAATAAACATCTTGAATGTACACACACACAATCGTACAACATAGCTGGTGGTAAATTGCCATGTTCGAGAATTCGAAGAAAATGGTGGACAACTCGTCTCACTAAAAAGAAAAGTAAGACGACTAATGATTCATTTAAAAAAGTAAGACGCTTGAATATTTTTTAAATAACTGTTGATCAGAAAGAGACACATTTCTTGAATCCTTAAACAACGAATATTAAATTAAAATTGATATATCCTCAAATAAATAGTCTGAATTATGTATTTTTTTAAATTTGTTATAGGCAACCATACGTGTTTATTTATTTCTACGAAGTCAACCGACTTTCTTTCTAAATAGGCCTTGAACATTTTTGTAAAATAATTTCGATCATTAAGGGTCATTGTCTGAGAAAAGCCAACAGTGTATGATACGGTCAGATACTTGATATTACCGACCGAGTTGTAGTTTTTACCATACAGAGAATCAATGTAGACTAGCTTACAGTCGATAGATGGCGCCTTAAAAGTGTTTCTCTCTCGGGTTATAGGTGTCGCCTTATAGAGGTCGAGCTTTATGGAAAATCAATAAAGTCTACTGCTCTCCCGAAACATGCAATCGAAAACTTCAGGGAAGATGTATCTTCGTATTGACCGTTTATCCCGAAATTTTTTCAAAACACATTGAATCGTTCCAGAGACATTTGGACTTTCATGCAACATTTGCGACGCAACTTTCCCACTTGGGCGAACGTGATCTAGGCTTCCAACGTTCAGGGTACATAGAGCAAAGCGAGCTCTGACAAAAACTGATTCTAAACTTCTAGGTAAAAATCATTTCGGACACGTTTGAAAGATTTTTCCTTAAAAACCAGGAAAAACTTGGCATTCTGCAGATAATTCTCAGTTTTCTCCATCGGAACTCATTTATTGTACAATACAAATATTATATTCCAAATCAGCCTCAAAAGCTGAGTCGAACGATAAATATTTTAGAATTTTTCGTTGATTTTCATTTTTTCGTGGAAATCTTAGTAATTTTTCGATGTGAAAATTAGAAAAAAGAAAAGTGATCAGATAAGATAAAAAAGTATATCGTATACAAAAAGTATACACCTACGACTCGGGAGGGATACACTTTTAGAGCGCTCTCTTTTGGCTGTAAGCTAGTCTACATTGGTTCTATATATGGTATAAACTACAGCCCGATCGGTGACGTCAAGTATCTCGATCTGTCAGACCCTATGAGATGATGGCTCTTAACAATGGTTGGAGTATTTATGAATATATTTTCTAGTTCATCTAAAATTTCAACCAAAAGTTTATAATCTTGATTCTATAGTTCAGTATATTTTTGGTTACGTTGTTGTTGTACTCTTGTATATTTACTTTCAAATGGAATGATATAAACCTTGCATATTAAACTCAAGCATATTTGTAATATATTCAAAAACTTTCATCCTTTGCATTTAGTTTTTGAAAAGTTTGATCCGATTCGTCAACTAATTCAACTGCATTGAGGGCATTTTTTAAGAGAGTTTTATATTCACTTTCTGTGGTAGATATACATCCATTCTTCATATTGTCAAACACTTTTATAGCCATTTCGTTAGCATTATTTATATCATCAAAACTTTTTTCCAATCTTTTTAAAAATTGTTTCAGTCTTTTCTGGAACTTTTTTTTTCATTGTTTTGAGGAATCGTTCCATTTTTCAAGAACCGTTTTATATAAACATTCAACAAGTTCAATTCCAAATCAATTGTAAAATCATAATTTTCTGGATTCAAACGGTTTTGATTTAAGTCATCTATTTTTCTATAAAGTTTTATAAGATTTTGCTATAAACATATTATTCGATATTCTACTCTTTCTACTGTCTGTTTTTTAATATTATCGTGAAGAAATTGATTCATTTCAATAAACATTGCATAAACAAAATCTACATTATTCATATTGGGACAAATGCTGATTATTTCTTTTGAAAATTCTCTACTTTGAATTTGTACACATGAAGAAATTTCTTATATTTTCATCATCAGATTTTCCTCTATCAATTAAATTTAAAATTAACTTTCTACCACTCTATTTCTTCCAATCGTTTACCAATGAACTTTGAGATCTTTCCACTATAAACACAATTTTTGTCCTGTTATGTTGAAAACATTAGAATGTTTTACATAATTTTGTTTTCTTTTAATAAGTGCTGGTATTTTTTGTAAAACCTCATTAAGTGTCAATTCTTTTTGATCAGTTTTTTCTAAATTATTGAGAAGTTCAGTAATATTATATGAGATAGAACTTTTTCTAAATACTTTATCTTCGAGTTGTTGTAACCTAAACGATATGCTTTTAGTCGACATTGTACCTGTTGCTGATGTGGTTTGTCGAATAACAAAAGTTGACAATTATTTAAGAATATTTTCTTTATTTCTCCTATTGTTGTTGTCAGAATATTTTTCATTTTTACTTCAATATTTTGTTTTAGTTCTTCTTCTTGTGATGTTTTATGATCATTCGAAATATGCTGTTGAGTTTAATAAGGTTTCCTTGTCATTAAAAGTATTTCCGATGCAAACATCTATGGTATATGGAACAGCGATAAGTTTGTCTTGTTCTGATTTCTTTATTGTTATTATAAACAGCATGTTTATTAAAACCTGTTAACATTAAATAAAAGGCTTTTTCTCCTTTAAAATCCAGTACTTCACTTAATTCAACTACACTCAATTTACATATATCTCTTAATTCATTTAATACACTAGCAACCGTTTCTTTTTGTAATCCAACATGTACAGGGTGAGCCAAAGAAAACTTACCCCCTATGTATTTATTGGCTTTCTTGTGCACAGATATAATTGAACTTTTTAGCATTAGTTTAGTGGAGTAGAGCAAAGATTTCTGGACAAAATGAGACGTCGCCAGGCTCTCTAAGACCTTTTCTCACGAAACAGCATTCAATGTACGGAGGGTCCCATACCAGCAAAATTGGGACAATTAACGGGAAACCAAGAAAAATACGGTCTTAGGGCCTTCCACAAATTGAATGCTGCTATTTTCATGAGAAAAGCTGAGAGAGCTCGGAGACGTCCTATTTTGTCAAGAAATCTTTGCTTTACCCGACTAAGCTAATGGGAAAAAGTTCAATTATATTTATACACAAGAAAGCCAATAAATACAGAGGGTAACGTTTTTTTGGTCCACCCTGTAAGTTTATAATATTTCTTAATATAAACAGAATGATTGGACGAGCTTGAAACATTTTCAATTGATTAACAGCAAATAAGCTAATAGTCAACATTTTTTCATTGATGAATTTAATTCTCCATTTAAGCTAAAAAGCATAATTCGTGAACATGCCATTGAAAATACAGTTAGTTTTTATCATATTCTTCATTTTCTGTTTCAATAGACAAAAGTCATTTGGTATCAAGTACTAATAATTTACTTGAACAAGGGTATTTTGTTTTAAAAACTGATGCATATAAACCTTTTGTGCAACGACCAGCGCTCATTTGATTTTTATAAACAATGTTGTTTAAACAGAAAGAAAAGAAGAAGCAGAAATTGGATAATAACAATGGTAGTTCACTTCTCGATGTCGTGTTACCTTATACAATAAATAAATTAAAAAAGAAATTGATTTATATGCAATTTGTGCATTATAAGTATTTTGGAAAGCTACGCCACCAGTTTCTGGAATGAATTGTGAAACTATATTTGTATGCATGATTGAACGATATAAACATCATCAAATTCATCTTCTCTCATTATTCACCAAATTTGGTACTGCTTTACCATCTGCATACAAATGGATGATCGATGCAAAAATGAATATTCAAAATATCACTTCGAGCTTATTCCTATCTTTTGGTAATTGATTGTCCGATTGTAATCTCGTTAGGTTCAAATTCTTTTGATAATCGTACTCTTCTAAATAGAATTTATCACTAATAAAACTGGAATGATAAATGACGATATTGAAGCAATATTTTCTACATCAGAATTTTCCTGTAGTTTTACTTTATTCGCTGTTTACGATCATGTTCGACAACAAAAGCATCTTGACTGTAGAATAGCTTTGCATTGTCTAGTTTGCTTCTTTTCCTACGGTTTTGTATATCCTAGTTAAAAATCCATCATAATATTCAGGCTCAGTATTTTCTGCTAAAATAAAGGAGAAACTTTGCTATTGACTCGATTGCAGTTTCCTGGAAACGACTCACGCCTGAATTTCATATGCCATCGGCACTCAGTAATATTACAACGAGATAACTTATATTATGGTTATACAACTTATTAAAACGATTAATACATACATATACATAAATAAAGTGTTTCAACAGCTCAACACTTCCACTTATTTTCATTGTTTTCTTCAACTTTCTCCCAAATTCATCTGCTTAAGCGACGATACTTCTGTCGAATCTAAAGACATACTATGACGCTCTTATCCCACGAGCGATACAACAATGGGAAAGCTACGCACGGTATTTAGTCTAATATTCTCATACTTTTGTTTCACATTCCCACATTTTGGTAGAGATTATCTTCCAAGCCTGTATCACAGATACAAGGTAATGTTTCATGCAGATTCAGACAAGCTACATGTAAATATAGTCTCACTCTGAGCTTTCATCGAATCAGTTCTATGAAATACTAGTTTTATTTTGGGATTCTTCGAGATATTCTTGCTCAGTTGTGTATCACGAATAAAAACGGTTGCACCATGCGAACTCTGGCGACTGGTCCTTGTGCGCCATCGAAACGGTTTATTCTCTGTGTTGGATCTATGTTTATTTCTTTGCTGTTAATAGCAGCAAATCTTCTGTAATATAATTAACGATACAAAACTAGGAAGAAAGAGCGTGAGAAATCCAAAAGAAGGTTAGCAGGTCATTGTATTTGTATGGAAATGTGATTATTATGTTGTATGAATGTTGTCTTGTAAAGAGACTGATTGTGCTTCGAAATCAAAGTGGATACTCGACTCGAGACTCGTGCATTTGCTGATATCAGTGATATGAGCTTCTTCCACAATGAGCAGGAAGTTCTCTTCAGTCTCGGCTCTGTGTTTCGACTTGAGAATGTGATGTTCGATGAGAGAGAGGCGTTGTGGCGTGTCAAGCTGACACTGTGTAATGAAGATGATCAAGATATGAAGGAGATGTATGAGTATCAGAAGAAGAGTGTTGGTGGTGGAGATGAACAAGCCAGTCTCCTCTCACTTGGTTTTCTTTTGCACAACATGGATGAATATGAGAAAGCGAAACAATATTACGCTCGTGTATTGGATGAGTTGAGCGATGATGATACAAATGTTGTCCTGTGTCATAAAAGACTCGGCGAAGTAAGTGCATCACAAGGAGAATATGATGTTGCACTCGATCATTTGAATGAAGCCGTGAAACTGTACAAGAAGTTTCAACATGCACATGACACAGTAGAGATTGCTGCCTGTTATCAGTGGATAGGCAGAGTGCACTTCCACAAAAAAGAATATGAAACAGCGCTTTCTTACTTGAACAAAGCTTTGGCTATAAGACAAGCAAAGCTTCCTGCTGATCATGTTCAAACTGCCCATACTCTAAGTGAAATCGGTAATGTTCACAATTACCAAAGAGATTATGATTCTGCCTTGTCTTATCATCAGCGTGCTCTTGTCATGTACAAGAAGGTGTTGCCCCGACTCACTCTTACATATCAACTAGTCTAACAGAGACTGGCAATATGTATTTCGAGAAGCAAGAGTTCGATCGACCTCTCGATTATTACAATCAAAGCCTCCAGATTAAACGAAAGTCACTTCCACCTGATCATCCAGATGTAGCTACAACTTACTATTCGATCGGTCGTGTGCATTGTTCATAACCCTATATATAGTCGCTGATTTTTTACAATAAAGTGTGTAGTGTGGTATACAGAAATAAAGTCAAGTGGGATTTGGACTGGGATTAACTCCCAAGGCAGAATTTTCTCTTGGAAATCATAATGTAGAAAATATGTATGAGATAGTTGGCTTTTGAAGTAATTATTAACCAAACATTTTAAGAATCTTTCTAGGAGAATTTAACTTATCAGATTTAATCGATATTTCCATCTTGGCTCAATCTTTTCCACGACTCATTTCTTTATGGACCAGTGGATATGATTTATATCCTGATGAAAATCTTGCTGCATTAATTTCATCATTTGTAATTTACTTTAATGAACTTGTTGAACTGATTATTAATAAAGGAAGTCGTTTTAGACATCATGGCAATAGAGATCTTGAACCGTTATTCACTCAACAAAAGTATATCGAAAGATTTTTGAAAAATAGCGATAAAATTCGACCATTTCTAAAATAACTATTTGGATCTCTATCGTTGACAATGACATCTCTTAAGTGAATGTAATCATCTGCTCTCACGAGGGAACCTTTCGAGGTGATTAAAAGCTTTTTGATCGACATCTAGTGGGTTATAGGTTATCGACCATGCTGATTCCGAATATGATCATGGGACTGGCCCATAGCTCTTCGAAGATCCAATCTNTTTGATTAAAATGATACATCCCCCAGCTCTACACGACCTTTCTTTGCAAAGTTATAGAATTTATAAGAAGAGCCCTAAATTAATTCTTTCCTTCTTATTTCTGTAGCTTCGAGCTGACAATGAACAATTTAAGGCTCTTCTTATAAACAAGTAACGTTCATCATTCTGATTCACTTATCCCTTGACTGGAAAGGAATCGCCAATATGTTCAGATATAATTGAACTTTTTAGCATTAGTTTAGTGGAGTAGAGCAAAGATTTCTGGACAAAATGAGACGTCGCCAGGCTCTCTAAGACCTTTTCTCACGAAACAGCATTCA